CAGAGTGGGGGATCTCAGTGTGATGCGAAAGGAAAAGAGACGAGGAGAGAGAGAGAGAGAGAGAGAGAGAGAGAGAGAGAGAGAGAGAGAGAGAGAAAGAGAATGAATTGAGAATGAGAGAGCAGGGTCAAAGCATGCTTCTCGGGTTCAGCCAAGCAAGGTCTTGAATGGATCAGTGCCTCTCTGCTTTGCTAGGAAGGCAACCTCCAGCAGGGAGACTCGGGGTTCAGCACCTAGAGTTTGCTCTCCTGCTTTGCCCTCAGCCCTTCCCAGTTTCTTGCCACCCAAGGCCAAGTGGAACCGCCGGGGCCCTCCTCCTCAGACACACTGACTCTGCCTCCGCGGATCCAACCTCAGGTAGGAGGGACTGGACTTGGCCCTTTGCCCAAGAAGAGGGAGATGGAAAAGAAGCCTCCACCCTGATGCGGGCCTCTGCTGCTCTTGGCAAAGTGGGATCTGAGGAAGCGCCCACACACTCCCTCTGTCGTTGCAGAAAAAGAGGAAGCAGCACATGTATAGGTTGCCAAGGTCTGAGGTCTTGGACCGGGAGTCCCCGCTGCCCAGGCTACGGGGTGAGCGCCCCTCACGGATTGGGTCCTGCCAGGTTAGTTCCGGGGGAGGGATAGGTAAGGCTGGAGCAGCCCCTTAGTCTCAAATTCCCCTCCACTATGCAGGGACCCGGACTCCTGGCCACTACTCCAGCTCATCATTCGATTCCACCAGCTCCGGCCTGGTGCATGCCGCTGGCCCTGTAGGCGCCTACGACTCGGCGTCCATGGAAGAGATTCCAGTGGCGCAAACGCGCCTGGGCAGTGCGGCCCTGGGCACCCCCGGCAGCCAGGGCGGAGAGTCTGGCCTGGAGCCACACGGGCATGCGCTTGCGGTCTTCGTGAGCCCAAGCAGTGGCGAGCCGGGGACGCCCCGTGAGGGCGACCTGCCTTAGCTGACACTAGTGGCAGGAGGGCCGAGAGGAAGCAGCCGGCCCAACTCTATGCAACGCCCCATCCTCACAGCACCGAGTGCACTTTAGGGGCCTCTTGGCTGGTGGGATCGGCCTCCCTTACCCACAACTCAGCAATATCTGCCCCACCGGCCCTGATACTCCAATAAACTTTTTTTATGCTTTTGCGGACTTAGAGCTTACTTTCTTTTAAACAAATTTTATATGTATGAGTGTTTTGCCTGTATGTATGTTAAGTGCTATGTCGTGCAATACCAATAGTGGCCAGAAGGGAGCATGAGAGCTTCTGGTGTTACATCAGCTGTGTGGGTGCTGCAAGCCGAACCCGGGGCCTCTGAAGGAGTAGCCAGTGCTTTTAACTGCGGATCCATCTCTGCAGCTCCGAGCGTACTTTCTTAATGACAAGGGCCATGGGCTTATGGAAGCCAGACCATCGCTAGCTCGCCTGGGGACAGGGTAGGTGTTAAGAAAGGCTCTCAGCAGAGCATTTTCAGTGTTGGGGTTAAGTGTTTAACAGGCCTTATGCATGCTAGGCAAGCACTCTACCACTAAGCTACATCTACTCTCCTTCCTCTGGCCTTTCCATTTTTTGTAGTCCAGGTTGGCTTCAAAATTTAAGGTCTCCTGAGTGCTGAGATTATAGGCGTGGGCAACCATGCTCAGCAAAGTTAATAGTATTTGCAGTTGGAGACTGAAGGGGAAGCTGTAGTGGAGCAGAGGCTGTGAGGCCGAGGGGAGGTGGGAATGGAAGGAGACAGCCATCCCGGAGGTCCAGGAGCTGTTTCCTGGCCAGTCATCTCCATCCATGCAACTAGCATTCTGGGGCTAGGCAAGCGTGGTCTCTGTCCGGTCCTCCTCTATTGCTCCAGAATCTGGACCCTATTCGGGAGAACGTGGGACTAGCTGGGGAATGCCACATATTCCATGGCAGGTGTGGTCTTGAGCCAGCTGTAGACTTTGTCACCGAGGGAAAGGATCTTTCTGTTCTTCCTCTTCCCGCTTCAGCTTCTTAAGGATCAGGTTGGCTCTTTGGGAAGCTGTATCTCCCCTGAGGGATGGGGATCCGGCTTGAACTGTCGGGGGCTGTTCTCTCACTGGGGGGCCATGGGAACGTCCCATCTGAGACATCCAGAACTGCCCAGGGCTGCTATCGCGCCCCAGGACCGGGGAGCTGAGGGGGAGGGGTGGGATAAGGCTGTCGCAGCAACTCCGTGGGCCCAAAGCCCAGAGCGCTCAGAGGGCGGGGTCTGGTGGGCGGAGCCAGCGTGACCTTGGTCACTCTCTCGCTGAGACAGCCTGGGGGGTGGGGTGGGGGTGGGACTCATTATCTCTATGGAGACAGAGAAACAGGGGATAATACCGCGGATCCGCCCCAGCTGCAGTCCTGCCCGGGAGCCGGCAGGGAGCGGAGCTGCGGAGCCGCCGGGTCTCCTGCATCTGTCATCTGTTCCTGTGTCCTGTCTATCCGAAGGCACGCTGCAGGAGCAGCCACGAGATAGAAGCCGGTAGGAGAACTGGACACCGACCACCTAAATCAATATCCTGTACAGAAAGGGGTGGGTGGGAGCGCCTGTAAGGGGTCCCAACCCCGGATGGTACTGAGCTGAGGATACCGGCTGAGCAGCCCAGCCCTGGCCCCAAGTGTTCCTCCACCGCACAGCCCCCACCTCCTTGCTCAGCTGATTGATGACTACAGCTGTCCCAGCAGTAGCTGACGGGTGGATTCAGTTCAGGAGCTTGGCTATTCCATCGAAGGTCTGTAGACCCCAGAGCTTCTTGCTTATGATTCTGCTCCACCTGAACAGCCCTGAGATGACCAAAAATCCATCTTCCCACAGAACAGGAGTGAGCACCAGTTACAGGATCTTTCCAGTTCCTTGAAACAAGTATCCTGTGGCTCCTCTGGACATAGTTACCCTTGATGAGCCAAGTTCAGGGCTTTGGGTCCCTGTTTGGAGACTGCACCTTGGGAGAAGCACAGGAAAGTGCAGTACCCCTTTGGGCTATGGTCCCACAGAGGCCTCTTCAATGTGGGATTGCTGGGTGCTCATAGTCCTAGAACTGCAACTTACAAGTGGGCAGGTGTGGCCACTGGGAAGCGGCTTTCAGTGTCAAGGCCAATGGTAATGGAAGAGGAGGAAGCTGAGCAGGGATTCAGGTTGTGGTCGTTGGAGGCTTTGTTTTTTTTTTTTTTTTTAAATAAGAGGCAGAGAGCTAAAGATGGTGGCTGAGGATGAGGGTGTGGTCAGGAGGCTGCAGTGGATGTGATGGTGGTATATCTTAACATGGTAGAGGGGAATATGGAAATGTCACTGTGGGTGAGACACTGAGGGACTTTAAAGCAGGGCTCTAGGTATGCAGATAAGGGGGGTGCTAAGGGTGTTAGAAAGCTGCAGTGAAAGTGCATGGTCAGGGGTTTTTCAACATCTTGCTTGGGAGTATGGAAATGCCAATGTTTAGATTGGACACTGTGGGGTGGTTTAGAGTAGGGTTATGTCAGGAGCTGTAGGTCTATGAATAACTAGGGATGCTAAGGGTATGTTCAGGGGGCCTTGATAAGGGCTGTGGGTACAGAATCAGGTTGGTGAGTGTGGTGGGTCTCTTCAGGATGTGGATGAGGAGGATACAGAATTTGGGCTGCAGGTGTGGTACAGGGCTTGATCAGTAGAGGGAGTTTCAGAGTGGAGCTAAGGGTGTGGTCAGGGGACTGCAGAGGAGGGCTGAGGGTGTGGTCAGGGGATTGCAGTGCTTGGTTTTGGGTGTGGGGAACGCTTTAGCACAGAACTGAGGGTATACTGGGGAGGTTTCAGTGCAGTCCTGTTATTGTCTGTGTGGGGATGGAAGTGGAGAAAAGGGTCAGACCCAGGACTGAGAGTGTAGATGGTGGTGGGGTCACAGTGCAGGGCTGTGGGTGTGCTCAGGGGTACAAGGCTGAGGGTGTGGAGGGCCAGAGCTTAGTGCATATGAGCTATGGGAATGTGAACTGGCATGGCCATGCTCAGGGTGTGGTGAGGGACCTCAATGGAGGCCTGAAGTATAGACAAGGGGATGTGTGCATCAATGGAGGATCACAACACTAATCTCACGGTCCCACTAGCAGCATGGAGGAGTTTGAGGAGCTAGTTATTCTACAAGCCTTCACCTAAGGTGCCTTCAATCTCCCTTGTCCTAAACTCCACAAACTGGGAGCTACAGCTCCAATCAGTGGCAAGTGGCCAGGAAGCCACGGTTGCGCCTTAGGCTTAGGGAGTGCTGGCATGCCCCACCTGTGGGCCCCTGCTTCCCAACCCAGCCCAGCCCAGCAGCACTGGGAGCTTCTCCCTGAGCTGCCCTGACACCATCCTACCCTTAGCAACACTCTCCAAGCAGCACCACCCTCCCTTAGCAACTGTCTCCAGGCTTCACAAACTGTGGCCAGGCCAGCCCCAAGTTCCCGCTCCCTTCATGTTTTTGTTTAACAGCAAATAGTAACAAGGCCTGGGCTGGGCCAGCTGCACCCCTGCCTAGGGCATGCACTGCTGCCCTTGTTTCTGCTCCCTTGTCAGGCCTGGGCTGTGCTGGGCCTCACTGGGTCTTTATGACCCCTAGAGAAACACTGTCCTCACTAAATACCTGTCCAACCAGCAGTCTGGCCTGGCACTGACCAAGCTTGGCATGGAGCTTCCTGGGAGGGGGGTGCTGCTTCTCTGCCCCCTCTTACTTCCACACAAGCAGGCCTTGTGCCAAAGACAGACAAAGCCATGGCCCCAGCTGTTGCCTTCACAGTCTTTCTGGACAGTGCCATTCTGTTCTCAGTGTAGTGTGGGCATCATGATTTCATCTTCTGAGCCCTACGGAGTGCCAGGGTTGGCACTGAGCAATGAGACCTTTCTGCTCATGGTTCTTCCTCAGGGCTCTGGGGTCCAGGCAGGCACTGAGTTCTGACCCCTCTCCCCAGGCAACCCAGTCCTGACTCTGAGGGTCTGTTACAGAAATGTTTTGAGGTGGCGGTAGGGATGTTCTGGCCCTGGGGGTGGGCAGCTTGGCTGGGAGATGACTGAGGTGCATCCCCACAGGGTGGCATGGCAGCGAGCACTGATGTAGCTGGGCTGGAGGAGAGCTTCCGCAAGTTTGCCATCCATGGTGACCCCAAGGCCAGCGGGCAAGAGATGAACGGCAAGAACTGGGCCAAGCTGTGTAAAGACTGCAAGGTGGCTGATGGAAAGGCTGTGACGGGAACAGATGTTGACATCGTCTTCTCCAAAGTCAAGTGAGCCCTGGGTAGCCCCTGCCTCTCATGATCCCAGAAGTTGGGGAGTTGGGGGCTGGAATCAGGGAGGACACCAGAAGGGGGAACCCTCATGGTGGACATGGTTGCTGGCAGGGCGAAGTCTGCTCGGGTCATCAACTATGAGGAGTTCAAGAAGGCTTTGGAAGAGCTGGCAGCCAAGCGGTTCAAGGGGAAAAGCAAGGAAGAGGCCTTTGAGGCCATCTGCCAGCTGGTGGCAGGCAAGGAACCAGCCAATTTGGGTGTCACTGTAAGTATTCTGCTAGTCTCTGGTGGCCACTGAGGGGATGTAGGGAATCTCAGTTGAGGGTGGGAATGGGCCCTTCAGGCTCCCTCTCAAGTGTCCTTGGGGGAACTCTGTCCAAACAGAAAGCAAAAACAGGGGGTGCTGTGGACCGACTGACTGACACCAGTAAGTACACGGGTTCCCACAAAGAGCGCTTTGATGAGAGTGGCAAGGGCAAGGGCATTGCTGGACGGCAGGACATCCTGGACGACAGTGGTTATGTGAGTGCCTACAAGAACGCCGGTACCTATGATGCCAAGGTGAAGAAGTGAGATCTGGGAAGCCCCCAGTGAGGCTGCCCCCACTGGAGTTTCGGGCCTGGGTTGAAGGGGCACATGGAGCAAGAAAGCCTGGTCCCCTCCCTGCTGGACCTGCCACTTAAAGCTTCCTGCCCAGTCCCATGGGGCCATCCCACCAGGCCTCTGACCCAGACTGCTGTGTCCCTTTTTCCTTTCTTGTCTCCCCGACTTCTGTCTTGGAGTCTGTGCCTATAGCATCACCATCCCACCCTGGTCCTGGGCATGGCTGACCCCTGCCTGCTTGCCTCATATTTAAGCTGCTGCTCTGGCCAAGTGCCTAATTCTTACCCAGACCTCAATAAAGACACCTTTTGTACCAGTATGGCCTGACTGGGTCTGTGGCGATGGGGTCATGGCATTCACACCTCAGTATCATCACCCTCTTGTATACACACTCTGCCAGGCACTCCCATCCCATTGGCAGCCCGGCCCAGAAAGAGATGTGATTCTCTTCCATTAGTGAGTCTCTTACATTAGTGCAGAGCAGAGCCAGACCTTCTGAAAGGGCCCTTAGGGAAATGCAAAGCTTTTTACTGGGCCCTGTCCCTGAGAGTGCTGGTATCACAGCCTGTAGCTCTGTAGCTGGGGCCTCAATCTGCAGACTTGGTCCTGAACATTTGCACAGCAGAAGGAAGGATGAGACAGCAGACTTGGCCTGGACCAAGGCTTGGCAGAGGTCCAGTGCCAGACCTCAGCACTATGACTGCCAACAGGGGCTACTAGGGCAAGTCATTTTGGGCCCTAGTCTAGAATCTCAGAAAATTCAGGGCTAGGAGGAACCTTAGAAAAGTGAACAATTGACTCCCTAATTTTATGGATGAGGAAACTGTGACCCAGGGAAAGAAAAGGTTTCTTCAGATGAGGCCAGGCCCCTTCTAGCACAGCAAGCCCTAACACCATTTCTGAAAAATGGGGGCTAATGGCCAGTGATGGGCCTAGTGTCCCTCAGTGATGGGCCTCTGACTGATTTCCTCCCATCTGTTCACCATCCTGCTGGGAAGGGCAATCCCTTTCACATCATCTGTTCTCCAAAGGCCTGGGTATTGGGTCAGAGTTGTTCCCAAGCACATGTTTTGTGACGAACCCTCCTTCCTTCCTACGGCAACAAGGAGGCTGGTGGAACTCAGGGCCTGTCCATAAGACAGCTCCCAAAATGTTCCAGGAGGACTCAAATGTTCATGTTCGGCAATACCTCTGTTTTGACCCAGGCACAGGTGAAGAAATGCAATTGTATATCCCTTCATCCCACAGGCTGTTCTGGGATGTTCTTCCAAGATTGAGCTTAAGCCCAACCACTCAGGAATGAGAGGTCCAGAGGAATAGTGTAGCTTGGACAGGCTCGGACAGGGTCAGAGAAGGTCGGGTGGGAAGCAGAAGGCACAGGTTGGCTCCTGCCTCAGCAGAGCCTTGCCCTCCTGTTTCTGGAGGCTGGCTCTTCACTGTGCTGCCCCTGTCCTCTCAAACTACCCTGGAAAGTTCCAGTTTCCCCCACCAGCTGGCAGTAGAGAGGTGGTCCCGCCCCCTAGCCTGGGAAATGTTTGAACTGCAAGTTTTACCTCAGTGACCATACCTCAGTGGGAAACCTAAACTCTTCTTGCTCCACTTACTGAAAGATCTTCATGACAATTGGGTTCCCTATGTCCAAACCTGGCCTCACTCTCAGCTACTGAGCTACAGGGGAAAGGTATGTGTTGGGGGCAAGCGGAGAGCCTGTCCATTTCTGTCACTGGTGGGATGGCTTGAAGGAACAGAGAGAAAGAGAGCTGGCTGACCCCCAAACTTCACCTGGTAGGAATAAAATTTCCTGTTCTTAAATTCTCCCTGCTCAGAAGAAGCTCAAGGCCCAATTAGGGCCAGGAATACTCCTCATTGATGAAAACCTTAGATACCATTTCTAGCAAGGCTAGGCTGACAAGGAAGGGAGGTTAGGATCTGGGGATGCAGCATTAAATCCCTCTGTGTAGCAGGGAAGTCCAGGCCTCTCAGGGTGGCCCTGCCCCTCCCTCTGGGCCGAGAACCTTCCTGAGGATCATCTGCATACCAGATTTGCTTTCTTCTCTCTCAGTAGTGCAGGCCTCTGAGTGAGGATCCTCTCTACTTGTTTTTCATTTGCTCTAGGGGTTTTCTGTCTTCCATGTTGGGTCCTTTTATCCCCTCACGGTGACAACTATGGCCTTTCCTTTGACATTGCAACTCCTACCCCTGTTCCCAGAACTACATGCTATACAAGGAAAAATCAGAATCTGAAATAACCTCCCTAGGAGTGCCTAGCAGCCCAAAGAGTTGCTGGCCTGAGGTAGGGCCAGCCACTTTCTGTGACAAAGGGAAACAGCAAGGAAAGTAGCTTGTTCTGTTAGGCTCCTAGCCTCTCTTTAGCAGAGCCCTGAGCAGATTCTGGGCTTCCACCATTAGATTGTCACACTGGAGGCAGGAAGGGGTGGGGTGGTAGAAAGAAGTATGGTATTTTCCCTGATGGCCTGCCCAGTAGATGGGCTGTACCCTGGGTTGGGTTCCTAAAATGTGAGAACTCAGTGCTGACTGAGGCCCAACTCTCCTTTCTAGGAGAGGCTTTGGCTCTATGAAGATGTCTCAATGGGACAAGGAGGCTGGGAAAATGGCTCCCTTGGAGCACGCAGTTCAAAGAAACTCATGACTCCTCCAGATGCCACATAAAACCCAGAGGTCTGAAGATTTACTTATAATTCAGAAGTGTAGGGTCTTCATGTCTGTAGTATGGGAACTTCCCTGTACAGCATTTGAGTCAGGGACACACATGAGTGTCTGATTCCCTTGTCTTCCTTCTAGACATGGCCCTAGAGGTGAAGGGAAGTGTATGACGTTGACGGTGTTTTGCTCTCTGCCAACACTAGCTGCCCTGGAAAAAGCTGACATAAAAACAGACTTAGAACTCCTCACAGTCTTTCCCCACTGAGATCCAAGATGCCTTATCAATCAGAATCGAAGAATATATGGTCTTTATGTATAAAAGGTGCTGAGGCCAGGCTGGCACACTAGCAAGCTGCATCTTAGGTGGGCCTGCCTCTGCCCCCTCTGCTGTCTGGCTTCTCTGTGGCCCCATGCTGCACCACACTACCATCAACCCATTCTCCTCACATAGGAAGCCCCTCAAATGCAAGCCCCCCACTCTCTGTCCCCTGGAAAAATCTGCAAGGAGCCAAGCCCCTGCTGCCCTCTGAGCCCCTCAGTTTGAGATGCGATGGCACTACCCTTCGTGCATGTGCACTGCTGCTTTTTTCTAGTAGCTTCTCCATCGTTCTCACCCTTGACCCTCTGTTTTGCCTGGTAACCTGCTTATTCTCAGGTCGCTGTTGACTGTCCTCTGGAGACATTTTCCTGACATCCCATTTCTCAGACTAGGATTGATCTCCTGTCATAGACTCTCATGGCAGCACCACGGCACACCTCTGTCCCTGCTCCATGACCCCTCGGGGGCCACCATACTCTGTACTCCTAGCCTAGAGGGCTCTGCAGCTGTCTCCCTGCTCTAACCTGCCAGCTCTACTGCACACTAAGGCCTCACTGGAGCTTTCCCCACATGAACATTCCTCTCTTTCTCTCTTCCTACACACACACACACACACACACACGCACACACACACGCACGCACGCACGCACGCGTGCGCATAGGCTTGCATAGACACAGACACACAGCACACAGGCAAGAATGCATGGGCACACACAAACAAATGCACACAGACATATAGACTCATGCGCACACAGGCACACACAGGTATGAACACACACAAGTATACATAGCTTCTCTTCAGAGCTCTTGTTTCGACCTACTTGGTATAGCTGCAAGCTCTGAGTCTGTGTTCTTCTCACTAAGCTGTGGGCTACTCCAGGGCAGACACCAGATGCTGTCACCTTTTCAATGTGGCAGGAGGAAACTTCAGACACGTTTGGTGAATCAATACAGAGTCTCTGCAATTTCTTCAAACACAAAAGACATTGGATAGATGCTCTTTTGTAACTTTCTACCACACAGTCTCAAATGATACTGTGGAAAGTGTGTACTTTTTTTTCCTTTTTGACATTTTCAATCAAATGATTCTATGTGATATGTCTAGGACTAAGTGCCAACAATTTCTGTAGGCAGAAGGAAAGAATGATCAAATGGGAGGAGCTAAGTGGGAAAATAAAAAGAGGGACAATACAGGAAAGCAATTAGAATGTTTTTTCTTAATGTCTGGGGGTAGACACTACCACACCACACTGGCAAGGGCACCGAGAGCCCTCCTGGGTGATGGAGGTAGCAGCGCTAGCTTCATGTAGGCTCAGGGGCAGCTTTGGAGACACTCTGTATTAGATACCGACCGGTGTCGTGTGTCACTGGTGAGGAGGAAGACAGCGAGCTTTTCCCAAAGGGCGATGATCTCCCCAAATGAGGACTCCTCTCAGGAGGCAGGAGCGACTTCCTGGAATAACCTTTCTGCTCTTTATTCAGCTGTTGCAGCAGATACTCATTAGTTACCACCAGGGACCTGATGCCCAGGGGAGGGGAAAAGGGAGTCATGAAATCACAGCAAAGCCATACCATTTAAGTCTGAGATGGTTACTAGAGACAAATGCATAATGAAGTAACATCTTTCAACAGAAATGTCTCATTTGACTGGGCTATTTTAAAAGGAGACCCACAGTTTCTTTGGTACAGAACATTTAATTGTGTTCCAGACTGACTAAAGCTATGTTTCACATTGTGTAGAGCGGTTTTCTTTCCGAAGCACTTTCATGATGAGGTAAGTAAAGTACTCGGACATTGGCTTCCTTTCCTTCCCCCAGATCCCAGCTTCTTCTAATAGCCTGGCTCTGCAGCTAACTAGCGGTACAAGCCGGGACTGCCTTCTTGGACTGTATTATTACCACACAGTGTTGTGCCATCCGTGCACTGGCACAAGAATGGTGCACATACAATGCTATTAATTAAGCACTATTTTGTTTGTTTTTCTAGGGGGTCTGGTGCTGGAAATCAAACCCAGGGTCTCATATTTGTTATGTGCACTACTGCTGAACCAGACCTACAGCCCCCGGTACTTTTTTTTTTTTTTTTTTTTGGTCTTTTTGAGACAGGGTCTCCCTGTAGTCCCAGCTGGCCTAGAACTCACCATGTAGAGCAGGCTGGCCTTGAACTCAGAGAGATCTGCCTGCCTCTGCTTCCCAAGTACAAGACCCCAGTATTTTTAGCAGTCAAATACTGTTAAATCTAAATGAGTATCAATAGAGTAATAATTAAATGAATGGTGCAACCACACAGTGGAGTATTATGCAGCTAAAAAAAAGGATTGAAAACTAAATCTATAGACCATTGTGAACTTATTTCCAAAATGCTGGGTGAATGAGATGACTCAGTGGGTAAAGGTGTGTGTAGCCAGGTGTGAGGACCTGAGTTTGATCCCTGGGATCCACATGGTAGAAGAGAACAAGCCCATAAGCTCTCTCTCTCTCTCTCTCTCTCTCTCTCTCTCTCACACACACACACACACACAAACACACACTCAAACACAAATAATAAATGTAATAAAAAAGTTAAAGAGGCATTTTTCAGCCAGGTGGCGCACACCTTTAGTCCCAGCACTCAGGAGGCAGAGGCAGGCAGATCTCTGTGAGTTCAAGGCCAGCCTGGTCCACATAGTGAGTTCCAGGACAGCTGGGGCTACAAGGAGACCCTATCTCAAAAAGACCAAAAAAAAAAAAAGTTAAAGAGGCATTTTTCTTCTTTTATGTAATGAAGAGGAACACACATATGTACCCAACATCTGTAATAAAAGGCTAGTGAGAGGGAAGGAAAGGATAGAGGAGACAGGAAACAGAGCTAGAGATTTCTGAATTTATCTTATAGATTTGACTTTGGGGTGATATAAATATTTCACAAAACTATGCAAAGAAGATAAACCAAAATATTTCCCTAAGAATCAAAAGAAAAATGAAACAAATGAGTCTGTATGCTGAGTGAGTGGTTTAAGAACACAAAATTGACTCAAGTTAATCTAAGATATAGGATTTTGATGACTCATCCCTTGAAAGAGATTCTAGTGTTCATAGAGTATGGTCCCTAGACCACCAGCCACAGTACAACCTGGAAATATCAGAAATGCAAATTCTCAGGTCCCAACCTGAGAGCCCAGCAATCTGCATTTCGACAAACCCTCCTGTAATTCTGATGCACACCTAGGTTTGAGAACCATGATTTTATACTATTCCCTTTAGTTTGTGAAGCTTGAAATAATTATAATGAAAACGGTTTTCCATTGTTGTTTTTTTTTTGTTTGTTTGTTTTGTTGAGATAGTCTCAGGTAGTCCAGGCTAGCCTTAAACTCTCTATGTAGCCAAGGCTGGCCTTGAAGTGCTGATCCTTCTACCACCACCTCTCAAGTGCTGGGATTATAGGCATGTGCCACCATGCCCATCTGAAATTTTGTTTTGTTTTATTTTTTTTTATTTATTTATTTTTGGTCTTTTTTTTTTAGACAGGGTCTCCTTGTAGCCCCAGCTGGTAGACCAGGCTGGCCTTGAACTCACAGAGATCCACCTGCTTCTGCCTCCCGAGTGCTGAGATTAAAGGCATGCACCACCATGCCCGGCTTTATTTTTTTTAAAGCCATCCAGAAAGGATCTAGGTCTGATCCTCTGATTGTAACACTACTTCACTGAAAAGCAGTGAAGTTTTGGTTTGAAAGTAGGGGGTTTGCTGTTTGTATTTAAACATCATCAAAACTCTTAGTAGAGGTGGACTGGCAAGTCAGCATTTCAGGAGCTTCCCTAGAACTGCCAATGGCTTTGAGGCCATCCTCCCCCGCCCCTCCCTCAGTCCCCATGTCTGCATATTGAGGGTGCTCATCTATGAAGAGGCTTCTACTATGGAGTACTCCAGATTCTTTCCTTATCACTGTGTACTGAGTGCACTTGATGAGTTTTCTGTGACCAATAGCAAGCAGGCATTTTCCAGAGGAGCCAGATGGCCGATTTGAAAGGTATATAATGACCCAAACAGTTGGCTGACACAAGAGTCCTACAGTTGGTGAAAAACTAATTATTGAGTTGTTGCAACCCACAAATGCCAGCAAAGAAGAGTTGTCCCCAAGCAGTCCTGAAAGCAGTCCTCTGATTCCTGAGTTAACTGGCTAAGTTCAGGAGATTTTATATGCAGACTGTACTAATTTACATAGAATATCGATATTGGTTTCCAAGAAAAGTAGAGGAGATTACAGGGAAGTAAGCAATGCTCTCCCACGCTAGCTAAACAGACCTCCTACCTCTGACTTTCATGGAGAAGAGCAACTGTCTCCTCCAGTTTTTTCAGCTGTGCGAGCTCCTGGTTCAGGCAAGCCACTTGCACAGTCAGCTGGTGGTTTTTGCGCAGAAGATCATCTACAAAGGGTACAGCAGTCAGAGGTGAGTAAGATTCCAAGCTCAAAAGTGAACATCCTGAGAACTGGGACCCCTGGCACTCACTCCACATGCCATTCACCATTCCCTCCCTTGGAGACAGGAGTTGTGTGACAAGAATATGGGATTTGACAACAGTTTTAAATTTGAATTCAGTCACATTCTATTGCACATATTAATTCAAATTTCTGAGTTTCACTAGAGCTGATGAACCTGGCCCACAGCCACCACTATGAGGATTCAGTGAGACACCTGTCCTCACTTGTGTACACAGTAAACAAATATTAGGTCTTCTGTATTCTCCATTTTAGTTTGGAAACGTGTCTTTTTTTCCTGCATAGTTTGTGAAAACATGTAGAACTGTGTCAGGCACACAGAAATAACTCAGCGATGGCTTGCAAAAATGGAATTTGTGGTAAAGCAGTCATACCTGCCTCTCCAAATGTGTTAACGCTGCTTGCGGTCATGAGGTATGTAAAAGCACAGGGACTCTGGTCTTAAAGGAGCCAGTCTTCCAGAGTAATGCTTCTTAAATGTTAATATGCTTACCAATCACCTGGGGATCTTGTAAAAAATAGATTGATTCAGTAGGTCTATGGAGAGGCCCAATATTCTTGTCTAACAAGCTCCCAGGTAATGCTAACGTGGACCACATTTTGAGTAGCAAGTTCTGGAAGGTGGATAACAGGACTGCCACCACTGTACTCATCACCAGTATGCCAAAATGTGGAACCAGGCCTTATGGTTGATTGAAAGGATTATTTTCAAAGTAGATAAGTAGAGACTGATGTTTTGATTATCTGGGCTTGCGAATATCAGATGGTGCTAAGTTTAACAATGGAAGTTCAGTGCTTCCAGGTGTGGTGGCACAGTCCTTTAACCCATGCACTCAGGAGGCAGAGGCAGGTGAATCTCTGTGAGTTCAAAGCTGGCCTTGTCTAGATAATGAGTTCCAGGCCTATCAGGCCTACACAGTGAGACCCTGTTTCAAAAAAAGAAAAGAAAAGAAGAGAAAAATGCATGCACCACCATGCCCAGTGAGTCACCAAACGAAATTTCTCATATCAATCTGAGTACTTCTGTTTGTTTAGGGAAGCTGAGCTAAAGGTTTAAAGTTGAGGTTGGACTTTAAAAATACAGGGCTAACTTATGAATGAAGTAACAAGATTTACATGGGGTATTATTTTTCACTTATCACAACGGCAAAATTTTAAAAAAAATATTCAGTATTTGCAAAGGTGGAGTAAGAAGGGTATTCAAGTACACTGCTGGTGTGATTTTAAATCAAAACCACCTTTCTGGGGCTAAAGAGATGGCTCAGCAGTTAAGAGCACTTACTACTCTTACAGAGAACCTGGGATTGGTACCCACCACCAACATGGCAGCTAACAACTGGCTATAACTCTAATTCCAGGGGTTCCAACACACTCTTCTGGCTTCCATGCACACTGCATGAATATGGTACACATGTACACATGTAAACAAAATACTCGTACATATTAAACAAAAACAAATCTTAAAAAAAAACCCTCCACATTTCTTGGGAGAGATTTAGCAATGTGTAAAAAACTCCTCAAAAATGTCCATATCCAAAGTCTGGCATGGTGGTTCAGGCCTTTAATCCTAGCACTTGGAAGGCAGAGGCAGGCAGATCTTTGTGAATTTGAGGCCAGCCTGGTCTACATAGGGAGTTCCAGGTCAGCTGAGGCTACAGGGAGACGCTGTCTCAAAAAGACAAAAAAAATGTCCATATCCTTTGATTTATATTTCCAAGATCATCTCCTAGGAAGATAGTCTGAAATGCACACAAAGATTTGTGCATATGGACATGGATAGCATTGTCTGTGATAGTAGACACATCTGGATTCTCAGCTCCATCACAAGGGAAGAAAGGGGATCTCAGAGAAGGGTTTTCATTCCAGGGTTTCTTCTACCTTAGATCTTTCTTTTGACTACTTGGAAGCTCTTTAAAATTATTTACATTCTATGTCATTATAGCTATACAACTACTATTATAATTAATGGCAGATTTATACATAATAAATATTAGAAACAACTATAGAGACAGATAAGTGTGGTCTACTCATGCAACATTGTAGAAGTTACATGTGCCATTGAATTAATAACATTAAGATGTAGAAATAGAGGCAGTGCGTGATGTTGCAAGCCTTTGATCTTAGCACTCAGGAGGCAGAGGCAAACGGACCTCTGTGAGTTCGAGGCCAGCCTGGTCTACAGAGTGAGTTCCAGACTAGCTAGGGCTGTAGGGAGACCCTGTCTCAAAGAGACAAAAAGAAAAAAAAAGGAAGATGTAGAACGAGGTCTGTGGTCACTAGGGTCAAACCTAAAATGGTATATTTTGTTGTATATAAATTCTCTTTAAAACTGAGGGCATAATGTAAAATTTTTAATTGAATATCTATTATATGGAGATAGAGATAGAAGGAAATAGAAATATTGGTGGCAGTCATTGCTGGATCACAGAGTCACATTTTCCTTATATTTTTCAAATTTTCTATAGAAAACACTGTTTTCTTGCTGTAATCCCCAAAAGTAGTGCCATTCTTTTTTTTTTTTTTTTTTTTTTTTTTTTTTTTTTTTTTTTCTTTTTTGGAGATAGGGTCTCCCTGTAGCCCGAGCTGGCCTGGAACTTACTATGTAGACCAGGCTGACCTTGAACTCACAGAGATCTACCTGCCTCTGCCTCCCGAGTGCTGGGATTAAAGGCATGTGTCACCATGCCCAGCCTAGCAGTGCCATTCTAAAAACATTATTCTCATACATGTTTTATGTGGGCACAGAGAATTACATGGCAACTCAAAGACACCTACCTGCTTTACAATTCTCTGAAGCAGAAGTTGGGGATGCAGCTCAATTAGAAAAGTTGCATGCTTGAGGCCCTGGGTTAGATCCCCAGCACCACAAAATAAATAAATAAATAAATAAATAAATAAATAAATAAATAAATATAAGTAACTCTGAGGTAAGAGTATCACTTCCATCAGTCCAAGGGGAAGTAATGGTCAAAGAAAGCCAAAGGCAGCCACTAGAGCTTTGGCTGATGAAACTGATTAAAGAGGTCTTTTTGGGGGGGGGGATCTTTTTGAGACAGAGTCTCCTGGTAGCCCCAGCTGTCCTGGAACTCACTATGTAGATCAGGCTGGCCTTGAACTCACAGAGATCCACCTGCCTCTGCCTCCCGAGTGCTGGGATTAAAGGCATGTGCCACCATGCCAGGCCTAAAGAGGTCTTTTACAAACAATTATCTTGGGAAATCCCTTACTTACCGTGTGTATGGGATGGGTGCCCACTAACAATCGAGGTGGCAGCACCTTCCTCCAACTGCTGAATTTTTTCTGACAAAATGAGGTTTTCCTCCAGCACTCTAACCAGTTTTTGCTTCAAACTTTCCTTTAGATCAGAAAAAAAAATACACCAACACATTAAGAATCTAAAATCCTGGCTAGTACCCTTTAGAGGACTAGAGACTGTGATTTTTTCACTAGAAATTTAATTCGTGGGTAAACAGAGTTCAAATGCAGCATCCAAATTTATCACATGGAGTCTCAAACTTTGTTGTAGGCTATCCACAACCCTTGCTATGTGAAAAGGGGCTAGCTAGCATTCTGAGTCATCATCAGTCTAAAGTTTTTAGGGCTGCACATAGTGTCTGAAAATGCTCTGAAGCGCAGAACTGAGAAAAACTGGGATATGAATCCTTCTTCCTCTTGTAGAACCAGCTAGTGCTCAAACACCCCTGGTCCATGCTCTTTGCTCCAGAAGGGAGAAAACATGGTCTTTGTTTTCCATCATGACCTTCAACATTGAGCCAAGACGTTTTCACTCCAGGATTTTTGCAACACACACACACACACACACACACACACACACACACACACACACACACACACACACACACACCCGCTTCCAAGGCAAGTCTTTCTGTAGGACTTTTAGCTTTGGGATAGGCTGCACGTTCATCCATGTCAAGTCTTTCTTTAGGACTTTTAGATTTGGGCTAGGATGAAGGTTCATTCCTGCAGAACATTCCCGTTGTCCCCATTCTAACAAGTTTCGTATTTCTGATTTGTTCAGCCCAGCTTTTTCCTATTTTGGTTCTGGAGGGTCTCAGCGTTCACAGTGGTGATGATCTCTGGGGCCCAGGGCTGTTCAGGCCTGCTGTTCTGTCGTTTCTAGTTAAGAGTAGGAGAGGAAGATGAGGAAGCCATACCACGTCGTTAGGGACCAGCTGCCCTGCCTCCTTCAGTTCCTTCTCCCTCCACCGGAAGGCTTTTGCTGCCTTGTCCTCAGGCTGCCAGCAACACCGCTGCTGAGGAGGCGCAGGCACGACCAAAGACAGGAGCAAATCTCTGGCAGGACCTGCCAAAAATCCAGGTTTGGGTACATGGGCCAATCTTGAAAACTGAAGCACAGAATTCCAAATCAACAATCTAATGAGCTCCTTTTTACAGGAATTTCGGAAGTGTACAGCACCACTGCCCTACTTGATGAACTAGTCTGGACTTACCGCTTAGTGGCTCCAGAGGATAATTTTCTATAAAATAGCAACCTTGGGTGAACACGGAAAGGAAGGCTATGATTCTTCCCCTCTATGTCCCTGTAGAATTTTTATTAAAAACGTTTCCCCTCTATGTCCCTTTAGGATTTTTTTTTAATTTTTAAAATGTATTATTTTTATGTGTATGTATTGCCTGCATGTAGGTAAGTCCACCCGTGTTGTGCAGTGCGCTTGGAGGACAGAAGAGGCTGTTGGATCCCCTGGAACTGGAGTTTCAGATAGTTGTCAGCTATAGGTGCTGGGATTCAAAGCTGGGTCTTCTGCAAGAACAACCAGTGTTCTTAACTGCTGAGCCATCTTTCCAGCCCTGTCCCTTTAGGATTTTTAAAAATGTTTTTATAGCACATATTAATTATGTACAGTAGTGATCTTATGACATCTACATAAAACGTTTTGATTATATTTACATATTCCCCATTCCCTCTTGTCCTCCTCCATAAAATTTTTTAAATCAAAAATTTATTTTGTAATGCTAGATGAACCCAGGGTCTTGTGCGAGCTGAATGGTGTTCTACCGCTGAGCTATAACGTCAGCCCTTAAAAAGTAAAAGTAAAACTTTTTTCCCAGCCCAAACAATTTTCAACTTTCTACAACAACTTAAGCACATGGAGCCAATATTTGTAAAATTGTTTTCCCTCATGTTTCTAAAAATGAATCCTCCAAAGAGTACAGGCACTGGGGCTGGAGAGATGGCTCAGCAGTTAAGAACACTGGTTGTTCTTTCAGAAGACCGGGTTCGAATCGCAGCACCCACATGGCAGCTAACAACTGTCTGTAGCTCCAGTCCCAGGGGATCTGACAGCCTCTTCTGACCTCTGTGGCATTGCACGAAACGGGTGCACTTACCTACATGCAGGCAATACATGCATACACATAAAATAAAAAAATAGG